CCCCAAAACCCCAAAACCCCATCTAGCTACAATAATGGATCACTGATTCGTGGTCTATAATTAACTGCTAATAAACCTAATTCATAAAACAAGCATTCCATTAGTCTTTGGGGTTACTTCTCTAACTAGTAATTCTTCTAGGAAATGTACTTGCATCATGCTTGTCCACTACCCATTATTTGAGTCAAATTAGTAATTATGAAGTCCACTCTCAGGTGATTAAAGAAATAGTTGCATTGAACTCTAGTCAGCATAGAATCTATATGAACCGAATTGCTTTATCTTTATTTCTAACTCAGTAGGAGATTTCTTAACTATCTCAATCTTACCCTGAGGGTTTTATGACTTCAACTAATCAAATGCCACCTAGAATTTGGCTAGCGATTCCACAACTTTATTATCAAAATCTTCCTGTGACATTTGATTTTCCTAATTCCTAAACGAATAATGTCAACATAGCATATTTTTCTTACTGTTTGGCTTATCTCCTTTATCTTTACCTAGCTTACTTCTCTTCTGGTGACCTTTGCATATATGAGTCATACACATTGTATTGATTTTAGTTGCTAAACTTGAAAATTGCTTACTGTGCCATAAAACATTTAGACATATTGATGAATTAGCTTCTTGAGGCTACGAGCCTTTTTGCTATAGATTTCATTAAAATACAATTAATAGATTAAAAATTTAACTTAAATTATTGATATGATCTGAATGATAAGGTAGTTTATAAATTTAAGTATTTTTCATAGTACTGTTCAATCGGCTTTACTTTCAAACGATTTCCTGCCTGCACATTGGACACTTTAAGTTTCCTTTCTTTATCCATTATTCCAGACAATCTTAATGAAAAATGTGATGCTGATGGCACTTCAACTGAATAACTTGCTCGTCAGGCTCGAAAGTAGCTAGGCATACAGGGCAATCTCGTCCCTCGCTAAACATGAAATTTCCATAGGGGATGGCTTTAATATTTTACAATAACTGCCCTCTAAGCATTTCCTTCTTTCCATGTTAATATAATATACCACAAACACACATTGTGATGCAGGATACAATTAGCAAGTAAATTATAGCAAAGGCTTGACATACTTATGTTCCCAAATGTAGAAAATTAGACTCAAAGTCTTTTGGTGCTTCAACTCCCTTGTTAACTATAATCCCAAGAATGGAGAGATATATGATAAATAGAAACGCAGCGAAATTCATCAAGATAGTTGGAACTATAAATTGCTAGTGTCTCAAGCAGCAACTTAGATGGCCTATTACAGCTACTAAGAAGGAATAAATAAAATTGATAGTCTAACAAATCGCCATAAATTTAAGAAGATAAACCACCCATTCCTTCTCATTTTTCTAATACTAGGAAGTTACGTTAGCGCTTGAGAATACATGGATTAAAGTTATTGTAAGGGCAAGCTTTAGAAAATTGTAAATTTGATGCATGACTTTGTTAATAACAATCGAGGCTGAGGAAGACCTTCTTGCATCTTCATAGCGAACAGTATTTTACCTTTGTAGTGTCAACGAGCTATCATTCGAATTTTACTCATGAGGCGAAGGCTAAGCCTAATCAAGATTTTCTTAGTTGTTTTTAACCTCTTCACTTTGAATTTACTAATTTTAGGTGAAAGTTTATTGATCTTGATGCTCATTATAATGAGGAATTTCCTATTCCTCTTCTAGTTATTGAAATTACATTTATATTATGAGTTGTTAGATTATATTTTTAATTCTATTTTCATATATATTTTTTCAAATTTTAATTCAAGGGGTTTTGGGGTTTTGGGG